CTTACTTCTTTATATTTAATTTTTCCTGTCAAGGATAGCAACCTGAATTTAAATTTGATTTTATTGGTAGTGCTAGGGACTAACCCAAGGGCCTCATTATGCAATTAAAAATTTCCCCTTAGAAGAAAGAGAAAGAGAGAGAGGGAGAGGGAAAGGAGAGAGGAGAGAGAAAGAGAAAGAAAAAGAGAGAGAGAGGAAGGAAGGAAAGAAGGGCAGTGAGAAACACCATTCTATGTAGAGCAAACCCAAAGAAAGCAGTCCTGAACACAGACTGGGAGTCTGTGGTATCCTTCCCAAGGGGTAAAGTTTGGGCTTATGAGTAATGAATTCTGGGAGGAGAACTGAAAAGTCTTTTTTTTCTTTCTTCTTAATCGTGAACATTCTCTCCATGAAAATTTGGGTCCCAGAAGCATCTAGCTGTCTGCCTAGTTATTTGTCCATTCTAACTTCACCTATAGGTGTGACATCCTGGAGTGAAGGCTTTGAGGTCCACCACACCTGGTGTCAATCCTGGTGCTGTCTGTCACTCTGTCTTTTGGCAGATTCTTCAATTTATCTAAGCCTTGTTTGAATTTGTCCAGTAGAAGTAAAGTAAAAACTACCTGGTAGACTTGTTAAGATGAAACATAAATTAGTTATAAAACAGGGTCTTGTGTATAAGTGCTCAATTAGTAATAGAAAAAGTGGTGTTTTTTTTTTCTTTCTTTTTTTTTTTTTCCTTTTGTACTGGTGATAGAACTTGGGACCTTGAATTTACAAGGCAGGCAGCAATACCACTGAGCTAAATCATCCCTGGCCCAGAAGTGGTGATTATTAATAGCTAACTACTTTCCTATCTACCTGATATCGCTATCATAGTACAATACTTTCGAGCACAAGACAAAAAAAAATATATGAATTAAACAGATCTTTCCTGACCAAATTTGATGAACTCCATATCACTCCTATATGAGTCACCTTTCTGGGCTGTTGGAACAGTAGAAAGTGGGAGGTTTGGGCTCCCTTCTTACAGGACTCCCTGGGACAGTAGAGCCTGGGTTTGATGTATTTATTGACATCTCTTTCTACCACTTTTTATACCAAATGGCCCTTGTACAGGGGGTTATTCCATCAAAGAAGAGTTAACCTTAGATTCAATTAGCCAAAGTAGGCTCTGATTTTTTCCTGGTATTATGAAATTAAGCAAGATTTGCTTTAGCCAAAGGAAATACAAAACCCATTCTCTTAAGGTTTTGTTAAAAGGAAAAAAAAAAAGCCAAAAAGAAACAAAACACATAGACAGGGGAAAGGAACTAATTTTATGTAACAAGAGATTTATGATATTTATTATCTTAAAACCAAGTCACATTTGAAACCTTTTATTTTGTACTCATATTTAGTTATTCTAGTTGCCTGATGCTATCGTTTAGAATCTTGTCTTGGTAAATCATCATTATTATTGGAAATTAAGTTCCTTAAAGCACTCTAGAATGGAAAAGAAAACCAAACTAAACAAAATTTCTTCCAACTCTGTTATATCATAGAATCATTTTTTAAAAATACATTCAGACTTGTGTACATACAGAATTTGAGTAGGTGCAGTAATGGCCTTACTAACAATTTCCTGGAATGCTCTTAGAATGAGCTGACCATTGTGCTCCATCACCCAGCATGAGAGTGGTTGTGACTTCTTGCTGCCATGTCTGAAGCCCTGTCTAGGCCCCAGCACACGTGCAACCAAGATCTGGAGCCAGCTGCTGGTAGCAATTGCAAGCCTAGCTTTTGCTCTCAGCCAGCTCCAGCTCCTTTGAGTTCCTGGGACAGTTTATATATAATTATTGGAATGTTAAGCAGATAAGTGTCTACAAACTAAGAATTCAAAAAGGTCAAACTACCACAGAGTCCAAAAGAGAGGCTCAGACAGTGTTGTCCATTCCTGCCCAAGTATTTCCACCTTGTCTTGCCTTGGGAGCCAGCTCCAGTCCACTCCAGCCAGGCATCTTCCTGTCTCCAAAATGCCACATGTTCAGCTTCATATTTTGTTAAGTGAACACCTTCATTCTTTCATGGATGCTCAGCCTAATCATCCCTGCTTTACTGGCTCTTTCTAATAAGTCTTGTTGAAATTGAGGTACCAGCATATAAATGGAACAAAGGCACCAGTCCAGTCTCCAGCTTTGCCAAAATTAATTGCACTGCCACATCGCCTATTTCAGTAATGCCCACTGTAGAGTAAGCTGGCCTACGAAATTCCCACCTGTCTTCCTGTGCTGCACTCCACCCTCTGGGCCGCAGAATCTATTAGCAGTGTTTTGGCCTCCCCAGGCTTCACCACGAAAGGCCTACGTTTCGTAGGCTTCTGGTAGAGGATGTCCCAAATATTTTCCATTATTGGATAAGGGTAGTGCATCTGTGAGTGCCACAGGCTTGTGAGAGTTGGGGAAGAGGCAGTGCACACAGTCACTGCTGTCTAGTCTGGCCTGACCTTGTCCTCCTGTCACTGTCTGATCCTGCTCTGCTCAGCACCTGTCCCACCACTAAGACTTCTTACGACAGCAGGCTCCTGTGCCATCACGCTTCGTACTGTGCTGAGTGCACATGCCCTACACCTGCCCTCTGGGGATTCGCACTGCCACAGTGATTCTAGAGCAGCACACGGGTGCAGACACTTCTGGGAGGAGAGCGAATGGTAGCAGGGTTTCCTAGAAAAGTGGCATCTGAGCTGAGATCCACAGAATGAATCACTCAGGTCAAGGAGCAGGGAGCAAACAGCAGAGGAAGCGGGTGTGGAAGCTGGAAACCCAGAGAAGGGATCATGGTAAGGATCAGGAGGCCTGAGCAGGGGCCAGACCCTCAGGGCCTCAGCTGCAATGTTAGAGGAGTTTGTACAGCACTCCTTGGTTGCCCATCTGAAGTGAATATAGGGATGATTTGACTTTGAGTTGGCTGTGTGACACATGGCCTATTCTGTGTAAGGCTTTTGTGGTCACAAAAGTAGCACCTGTCAAATTCCTGCAGCTATGTGCAAACAACATGGTTTTCTGGTGGTATCAAAATTCCAGAATATTATTTAAATACTTGATGAGAAGGTTAAAGCTTCTGGCAAACATGAGTGAGGCTACAAAAGACATAAGATGTGGCTTTTGCCCTGGATATGTTTATCATCTGGTTGGCATGACAGCAATAAGTGAATTAAACAACACACAAATGAAATGGCGAAACTATGATCAGAAGCTGCAAATGACTTTTATACAAATTGATTGTTTAAGGGTTTTCTGCTTTTCTGCTGGATGACCTCAGCAGCAGTATCCACTGAAGTTTTGATCACACTTCCTAAAGACACTCACAAAAGAGGACTTCAGGAACTGCTTCAGAAAGTCACAAGAAGAATGGCCTAAGTCTATTCAGAGTGAGGAGGAGTATTTGAGGAGGATTAATGGCAATGTGTCTTCTAGTGCAATGAACTTTTAATTTAAATATTCACTTGTATTGTGAAATAATTCTAATTATAGGTTATCTTTTCTGATTAACACATATAGCTAAATGACTTTTTCTTCCTTTCTTTTTTCGTCTACTTTTCCCTCCCCCTCCCTCATTTCTTCCCTTATCTTTTGGTAGGGTTTTGTTTTTTTTTTTTGTTTTTTTTTTTTGTGTGGTACTGGGGATCCAACTTGTTTGGTCCTTGCGCTGAGCTAAATCCCCAGCTATCTTCCCTTATCTTTTAACATAGTTTGGTAATATCTTCCTTAAAAGCCTGATTTTGGAGCCATGTCACATTTTCTGTTAACCTGTGGTAGCAGTTTCTTCTCACCTGTGTTTTTGTTTTGTTTATATTTTTGGTTATTTCCTGCTGCTGTGCTTTGTGGCCAGGGTGACTCTTTCTGGTCAACCCACAGGGACTGCATTACAGGGAAGCCAGTTCCATGGGCAATTGAATAACCTGGTAGAGAGGATGCTGTCAACCAAGATCGTCCTGTTCTTGATGTCTTACTAACTTCATATCAGCATGTCACTTTCTCCAGCTCTGTTGTCAGAGTTTAGGCTGCTACAACAAAATATTGTAGACTGGGTAGCTTAAACAGACATTTTTTCCTCATAGTTCTAGGCATTTAAGGAGGGTAAGATAAGGAGCAGGCAGACTCAGTGTCTGGTGAGGATACATTCTGATGGATAGAAACAATCTTCTCTGCCAGGTATAGTGGAATACACCTGTAATCACAGCACTTGAAAGTCTGAGGCAGACAGATCAAGAGTTTGAGACCAGCCTTATTATATGGTGAATCCCTTCCTCAGAAAGGAGAGAGGGAGGGAGAAAGAGAGAGAGAGAGAGAGAGAGAAGAAAAAGCATCTTCTTTACTATGTCCTCCATGGTGGAAGAATCAGGAGGCTATCTGGGCTCCCGTGTAAGGCCACTAATCCTATTCATGAGGCTTTACCCATCATGTCCTAATCATTTTTCAACAGCTACATGTCTCAATACCATTGTACTGGGGATCGGGATTACAATGTACAAATTTGAGGAACAGAGCATTCAGACTATAACATGTTTTCTCATTAAAAAACAAGATAATGACATCTGTATATCAACATGAAAATTTAGTAGGGTTTTTTTTTTTTTTTTTTTTTTTTTTTTTTTTT